CTGGAGCAGGGGAAGAGTGTGAGGAGTCCTCCCCCTGAGGAGGAAGAAGCAGCAGAAGCAATGTGTGATGAACTGTCTGCAACCCCCATTCCCCATCCCCCTACGCCACTGGGGGGAAAGAGGTAGAGGAAATCAGGAGTAAAGTTAAGCCTGGGAAGAAGGGAGGGGTGGGGGGAAGTTGTTTTAAGATTTGGTTTTATTTCTCATTATCCTACCCTAATTTGATTGGTAATAAATTAAACTTATTTCCCCAAGTTGAGTCTGTTTTGCCCATGACAGTAATTAGTGAGTGATCTCTCCCTGTCCTTATCTTGACCCACGAGCCATTTGTTATATTTTTCTCTCCCCTGTCCAGTTGAGGAAGGGGAGTGATAGAGTGGCTTTGGTGGGTACCTGGCGTCCAGCCAGGGTCAATCTGCCACACTCAGTGATTTTTTTTTTTCTTTTTGAAAAAAATCCCCAAATTATCTGTGGGGGAAGATCAGCTTTTCTGTCAACTCCATGAATGTGCTATTTAATGCTTATATGTATAACATAATGATAAATCCAACCCCATCATAATAAAAAAGAATAAATAACTAGGACATTTCAAATGTATGTAAGTGAAAGAACATGGCTTACACATACAATATCTACTGGAAGTGAAAAAAGTGAAAGTGAAAAGATGTGTTCAGTTTAATGACTACTGGAAGTGAAAAAAGTGAAAGTGAAATGATGTGTTCAGTTTCATTTTTGGTGAACAGAAAAAGTAAATAAGCTTTTGATCAAAATAAAATAAACAGAAGATGTAACAGATACATTATTATGCTCTTGGTTTTATGCATTGTAGTTTTGGGGGGCAGGGATGTTTATTTTGGTGAGGAAGTATTTTTCACATTCCACCAAAGAATGTATTTTCAGATCAAACTGAACTCAATTTTTTTGTATTGATCCTTATTTTGATCACTTCTTGACATTAGTATGGAACAGACCTTTTTACAATGTAAAAAAAATGAAAAAAACACAAAACCCCAACAAACTAGTACTTAACTGATCTTCTTTCTGTTGAGGGCAGATTCTAGGAACAGTCTAAAATCCTGCTGATTTTAAGGGCAGCCTACTTGCTTCCTGGTTTCTCTCACAGGTTAGATTGTAGAGTGGTAATAGTTTCAGAAAGCACAGGCTTCTCAATGGCTTCATTGCCACCTCAAATTTATGCTTGAAAGCTGTCCTCGAACTAATTCCTTTCAGCTAAATACTTGAATTTTCATGGTTCAGTTTCTTTAAGATAAAAACAATCTGGTCTGGATAATCTTCTCCAGATAAATCCCATCTAGTGCAGCATCTCCTTAATAGGCAGATCTGTTCTGAGTGTAGCTCTCAGAAACAACCCAGAAAGGACTAGTTTCATTTCAAAAGATTGAGTCTTTACACTGTTTTGTGGTAGCCTCTCTTTATAATGCAAAAACACTTTATTTGGAAATAGTGGGAGGACATATATGCACACACACACGTGCACAATTTCTAGCCACTTTTTTGACAGGCCTTGAAAAAGGGAACAATTACTCTTTTGGTTGTATTCATCTTATACATATTAGGGATAAATAAGGTGGTTTCCTATCTAAGGCTTGTTAAAGGTTTTTGGAATGTGAATGGTGAAATTTGTACTTGTAAAGAACAGGACTGTTGAATGTTAGTAACACATATGTCATTTATCTCAAGTTGTACACTTGATACATTGAAAAGAGGTCTTACAAGGAACAAAGGCAAACTAAAAATTTTCAGCAGACTGAATAAAATTCCTTTTTAAATTAACCTGGTTTCAATCTTGCCATTATGATAATGGTTGCTCAATTGCTTCATAAGCTTCCAAAGTAAGAATGCTACTAATTCTTTAAAATAAATAAGACATTGAAAGAAAATTCTTACATTTAGTTAAAGAAGTACAGTACTATGGACAATTTTTTCCAGGTTGTCTTATACCTGACACAGAGAAAAATAGCACACTTTTCACTTCTTGAAGTCATTCTCTCTATAATGTAGGAAATAGCTTTACTTCGAGCTTGCCTTTTTTTTCCCTTTCTGATAAGGAAGTGAAAATCCCAATTACAATACCTTAATGTTAAAATACAGTATTTTGAAGAAGGGTTTAGATCTATCT